ATTGTGAAAACACGGGTAGCTGGACCACCCCCCACCCCCCACACCCCAACCAGAGTTTGCATTTCTAAAAATCTAGATTTTTAGATGCTACTGTTGACAGCCCAAGCATCAAATTTTGTCTTAAACCTGTCAGACCCTCAGTTTCCTCCTCTATAAATGGGAATGAGAACATACGCCCTTTTGGGGTCATGTGCGGTTTGGAGACCATATTTATCCATTCATTCCTTCAGCAACTGTATCGTGAGCCCTGCCCATGTGGCAGGCACTGGAGAATTGGTGCAGAACAAGAAAGGAGATCCCAGGCATGGGGCAGGGGGTTGGGGGGCAGTGGAGAGGGGCATATGGAACAGACCAGAAGAGTGATAAAAAGAAAATTGCAAATCATGGCACACGCTACAAAGACAGCAACCCAAAGTGCTGGCACAGAGCCTAAGCAGGGCAGGAAGACCCTTATTTATTTATTTATTTATTTATTTTTGAGTTGAAGTCTCACTCCGTCGCCCAGACTGGAGTGCAGTGGCACGCTTCTGGCCACCGCAGCCTCGACCTGCTGGGCTCCCGCGATCCTTCTGCCTCTGCCTTCTGAGTAGCTGGAACTACAGGCGCACGCTACCACGCCCGGCTAATTTTTTTATTTATTGTAGAGATGAGGTCTGGCCAAGTTGCCCAGGCGGGTCTCGAATCCGCGGGCTCAGGCAATCCACTCACCTCAGCCTTCCAAGGCGCGGGATTACAGGCTGAGCCACCGAGCCTGGCTGGAAGACCCTAATTTAGATAGACGGCCAGCAGAGGCGAATGAACGACACTTGCAGAGCCCTGGTCTGTAGTAAGAGCCCAGGAATAATAGTACAATTGTTTTCCTCCCACTCCAACTATTTCTAGCTGTGTGACCTTGGACTAGCCGCTGACCTCCCTGTGCCACCATTGTATCTTCTGTAAAATGAAGATAGTGATAACACTTGCCTCATAGGATTGTAATGTGGATTATTCGATGTTCATATATGTGGGATGCACAGGGAGTGTCTGGGACCTAGGAAGCACTGTCAAGGTTCACAGTTATGGTTGTTGACACTATGTCAGTGATAGAAAACTCTACAGGGCAATTCTGAATGCCCCTCAAATCACAGGTGAGCCTGCCTCGGCTTCAGTCTGCGAGGCAGTGTGTAACACACAGCCCCTAATCATCCTGCATGTTGTTCTATGGAGTGGGGTGACTGTCAGCCCATGGACATCCTTAGCGATGATAATGACCCACTTGAGACAACTGGACCCCGACTACAGTCCCCAAGTGCCGTCAGTTGTATCTACGTGCTGAGATAATTGAGTAAGGAGAACTTCCTAGAAGAAGGGGGCCACCAGATGTGAGAGGACTATTAGAACTTCTTTGTTGGCAAGTAACGGAAACACAGCTCAAACTGGGTTCATCCCAAAAAAGGGAAGTTCATTGACTGCTGGAACTGCAAAGACCAGACTGGTTTCAGGTGTAGATGAATCCAGCCATTCAATGTGTTAGGACTTTGGGCCATGGCGTAGCTGTTTCCTCTGAGCCAAGCTTACTCTTGGACAGGTTCTCTCCCTGAGATGGCAAAGATGCCCTTCTCCAGCTTCAGGCTTCTATCCTTGTAGTTTATCAACTCCAAGAGCGGATGAACAGCTTTCCAGTTAATGCTAGAACAATCCTAGGGCTGGTTCTCCTGGGTCTGTCTCAGGCTGTGTCCCTGTTCATGAACTACTCACTGTGACCAAAGGGTAGGATAAAGGCTCTGATGGGCCAGGCCTGGGGTAGAGGCTTCTGCTGGGAACTAGGACTCAAGGTAGCCCTCCAAAGCCAAATCAGGTGCACTTTCCAGAAATGGGAGACCCGGATGCTGGGCAGCAAAAACAACAGCTGTCCCGGAAAGAGTAAAAGGTCCTGCCCTGCAGGATGAAAGCAGAAAGCAAGAGTGTATTCATTTCCCATGTCAGGGAGGAGTTGGGAGCCGGAGAGCTGGACCAGGGCCTAGAACTCTGCAGTTTCAGAAATTCGGCTGCCATCTTGGGGTTTGCATCCTCTGTGTGGGTTTCCTGTTGTGGTTGGAAGACCATGCAGGAAGTGGGAGGAGCTGGAGAAACAAAGTCCCCATTTGCAGCCAAGCCTGGAAAGAGGACATCCCCTCAAAGGGTGATGGAGATGGCTAAGGAAGGCCGAGCTCTTGCAGAGAAGACACACGAGGAGCGGACCTGCAGGCCCTGGCTGGCTCCTGGCATCTTCCCCATCACCTCTGTCCTTAAGCCTAAACCAGGCTTTCTCAGCCTTGGCACTACTAACTGGGCCAGATAATCTTTTGTGGTAGGAGCTGACCTGTGCACCGTAAGATGCTGAGCGGCAGCCCTGGCCTCTGTCCACCAATGCCAGCAGCACGCCCTTCCCCGGTAGTGACAACCAAAAATGTCTCCAGACACAACCAGATGTCCCCTGGGGGTCAGGATGGCCCCTAATTGAGAACCACCGGTCAAGAGGTACATGGGAGGAGGAGTTGGGGAGACCTAGACTCTGGAAACACATTCCTACCTGTCACCCTCCCAGCCACCCTGCAATGGGTGAGCTTGGCCATAGTGCTGCCCAGAGAGGCAGCCTGGGGAGCTTCTGCTGAGACTTGCCGAGAAGTCTCTTCACCAAGCTGGCCATTGATGAGATGTCTGTGGGAAGTCCACTCTGGGGCCCCTGCACTGATGGCATTTTGTTCTGACACCCCCAGTTCTTACGTTTTGATTTCCAGATGTTTCCAGAACCATGTGGTAAGCAGTTCTGTCTGGGACGATGTTTTTCCAATGGGTGGTACGTTGGGATATGCCCAGTGGGTATGCAACATGGGTTACATCAACAAGAAATTTTAAAATGTCAAGAGATAAGTATTTTAATGTGTTTGGTTTTCTTTTAAGTGGGTTGATTTAAAGGCCTTGATGAGTCAGTTAAGTAAATAACCGCACAGGTGGCATGTGGACAAAACATGAATAGCTGTGGTGGCACTTCAGTAACCGATGTGGCAGGGTGCATCTATACCCCTACATGTGCCTGAGCAGGATGCTGGGATGCCTGAGGGATTTTTTAAATTTTTGTTTGTTTGGTTTGGTTTCATTTTTTGTTCTTTTAGAGATGGGGCCTTGCTATATTCCCCAAGCTAGTCTTGACCTCTTGGCCTCAAGTAATCCTCCCACCTCAGCTTCCCAAAGTGCCAGGATTACAGGCCTGAGCCACACCCGGCCTGTGGGATGCTTGTTTAAAGAGCATCCCTGGCCAGGTGGCTTTTATTCCAAGTCTGCCTCCTTTCATCTGCAGATAAAGGACACAAACCCTGCAACACTAGGCACCTTCTCCTTCTGCAGCATCAATAATTTATGCCATTCGAAGACCTCACAGCCAAGGCAGGATCTGAGACGCCCCCGGGACCTCCGGAAGAGAGAGGTGGTCGATACAGCGTTTACTTAAGGAAGCCCCAGGGACGCCCTGGAGCTGCAGAGAGAGTGGCTGGTCTCCACCCCGACTGTGGGTCGAGCTAAGGCAGTAGGTCTGGCTTGAGATACCCAGAAGTGAGCATCGAGCACGGTTGTGTAGATGGTGACTTCCTCGAAGGCCAGGCTCCCTTCAAAAGCAAGGAGCAGGTGACAGTGGGGTAGAGGACGGTCCCCTTGAATACGCTCTTCGTTCGTTTGGTGTTTACTGAACATCTACTTCTTGCCCGGCACTGCGTCCGGGCAGCTTTGCTGTCCCAGGAACATGGGGCAGTATCTGGAGACATTTTGGGTTGTCACAGTTGGAGTGGAGGATGTGGCTGGAGCCCTGGGATGCTGCTGTAACAACCTACAATGCACAGGACGGTCCCCCACGACAAAGCGTGACCCGGCCCAGACGTCAGTCATGCGGAGGTTGAGAAAACCTGGTCTCCTGATGCAGGAGAGAGACCAGGCCCCTGCCCTGCCTCTTCTTGCAGTGGAGAAAGTCAGGAAGGGAGGAGAGGAGGAAGGGAAGGGAGCAACAGTGAACCAGCAAAAACACAGACGCGAACACAGACGCAATTAGAGCTGAGGAAGACATTGACCCGAGGCTGTGGCAGGGAAGAGTGGGTGTGACCTTGGCCAAGGTCTGAGCTGATGACATCAGGGCGAGCTCAAGGATAAGGGGAGGGGCGTCCAAGCAGAGGGAGCCGGAGGTACAAGAGGAAACTTGGGTTCAGCCTGTCCCCGAGTCTACCGTGTAGAGCTCACATGACAGCAGAAGAGAGGGTGGCAGGGAGGACCCCGCAGCCTCCCAGGGAAATGGACTGGGTGAAAGGAAGAGGCAGGTTCCGCCAGAACTCGCTCGGGAGTGAGGGGGCTGTATGTGAGGGAGAACCGCGTGGCACCACAGAAGACGACTCCTTTTGCGTGTGCCATGTTGAAAGGAGCCTTCTGAGCAGGGATGCTTCCAGAGTTGGGCTGTGTGACCTTGGGCAAGGGTTATCACCTCCTGGAGACCCTGTTTTGTCACCTATAAAATGGTCATGATAGGACCTGCCTCACAGGGCATCATGAGGACTGGATGTGTCCAGTTCCCGGCCCGGAGTCCATGGTCAGTAGCTGTGCACTGTGGGCCCTGTGGGGCTGATGCCAGTGATGACGCCGTCTTCCTGCACAGTGTGTGGTCCCTGGCTGCCTCCTTCAAGTTTTGTTTCATTTCCTCATGTTAGAAGAGTTTAGATGTGGCAGGGTATACAAATTCAAGGGATGCCAAAGGGTCTACCAAGTGAGTCTGCCTCCTAGCTTGTCCTTTAGCCGCTGGCAGTAAGGACTTGGGGCTGTGCACTGGGCCTGCCAAGGGTGTACATGAGTGCTGAAATTCCTCTGCCCGGAGGAGGGGGATGCCCCGTCCTGTGGTCCTGCAATGCTGTGTGAGCTAGCCAGTCTGAAACAAGATGGGTCTTCGAGAAGTCAGGAAACAGGGAGTCTTAAAATGAATCGGTCTTTCTTCCCACCCCCTCACCTAGAATGTCCGTGGTATCAGAGAGAAAGATGAGAGCTCACCAGGTGTTTGCCTTCCTCCTCCTCTTCGTGATCGCCTCGGTGGCCTCCGAAAACGCCAGCACATCCCGGGGCTGCGGGCTGGACCTCCTTCCTCAGTACGTGTCCCTGTGCGACCTGGACGCCATCTGGGGCATCGTGGTGGAGGCAGTGGCCGGGGCGGGCGCCCTGATCACGCTGCTCCTGATGCTCATCCTCCTGGTGCGGCTGCCGTTCATCAAGGACAAGGAGAAGAAGAGTCCCGTGGGCCTCCACTTCCTCTTCCTCCTGGGGACTCTGGGCCTCTTCGGGCTGACGTTCGCCTTCATCATCCAGGAGGATGAGACTATCTGCTCAGTGCGCCGCTTCCTCTGGGGCGTCCTCTTCGCGCTGTGCTTCTCCTGCCTGCTCAGCCAGGCGTGGCGTGTGCGGAGGCTGGTGCGCCATGGCACGGGCCCGGCCGGCTGGCAGCTTGTGGGCCTGGCACTGTGCCTGATGCTGGTTCAGGTCATCATCGCCGTGGAGTGGCTGGTGCTGACCGTGCTGCGTGACACCAGGCCAGCCTGCGCCTACGAGCCCATGGACTTCGTGATGGCCCTCATCTACGACATGGTGCTGCTGGTGGTCGCCCTGGGGCTGGCCCTCTTCACGCTGTGCGGCAAGTTCAAGAGGTGGAAGCTGAATGGGGCCTTCCTCCTCATCACCGCCTTCCTCTCCGTGCTCATCTGGGTGGCCTGGATGACCATGTACCTCTTTGGCAACGTCAAGCTGCAACAGGGAGACGCCTGGGACGACCCCACCCTGGCCATCACGCTGGCGGCCAGTGGTTGGGTCTTCGTCGTCTTCCATGCCATCCCTGAGATCCACTGCACCCTGCTCCCGGCCCTGCAGGAAAACACGCCCAACTACTTCGACACGTCACAGCCGAGGATGCGGGAGACGGCTTTCGAGGAGGACGTGCAGCTGCCGCGGGCCTACATGGAGAACAAGGCCTTCTCCATGGATGAACATAACGCAGGTAACGGAGGCACCGCCTGGCTGGGTGAGGCCCGGGGACCGTTCGTCCCAAAAAGCCCTTCTTTCTCTCCAGTGGGCATGGGTGGTCCCAGTCCCAGGGGCAGTGCTACCGGGTCAGAGCCCACAAATGTTGGCCTCTGTGCTGAAACTAATACAGAGATGGATTTATCTTTATTTTTATGTTTTTAGAGACAGGGTCTTGCTTCAGTGCCTAGGCTGGAATGCAGTGGCACAGTCATAGCTCACTGTTGCTCTGACGTCGTGGGTTCAAGCGAAACTCTCACCTCAGCCTCCCAAGTGAGCCACCACTCCTGGCTTTTTAAAATTATTTTTTGTAGGGATGGGGTCTCGCTGTGTTGTCTAGGCTGGTCTCAAACTCCTAGCCTCAAGTGATCCTCCCACCTTGGCCTCTAGAGTAGTTGGGACTACAGACGTGTACTACTATGTCCAGCTAATATTTTTGTTTGTTTTATTTGTTTTTTGTTTTTTTGAGTTGCCCAGGCTGTCGCCTAGGCTGGAGTGCAGTGGCACACTCACGACCACCCTAGCGCCAACCTCTTTGGCGATCCTTCTGCCTCAGCCTTCCAACTAATTTTTAATTTTTTTTTTTTTTTTTTAGGGACAGGATCTCACTGGTTTCCAAACTGGTTTCCAACTCCTGGCTTCAAACAATCCTCCCACTTCGGCCTCCCAAAGTGCTAGGATTACAGGCATGAGCCACTGTGCCAGGCCCCAAAGATGGTTTTTTATTGAGCTTTTCTCCCCCTACCAATTGCCAACTAATTTATTTTTTAAAAAAATCTAGGTTTTGGCCGGGCTTGGGGCTCAGCCTGTAATCCCGCGCTTTGGGAGGCCAAGGTGAGTGAATTGCCTGAGCCCGCGGGTTCAAGACCCACCTGGGCAACTTGGCAAGACCTCATCTCTTACAATAAATCAAAAAAGATTAGCCGGGCATGGTAGTGCACACCTGTAATTCCGGCTACTTGGAAGGCTGAGGCAGAAGGATCGCCAGAGCCCAGCAGACCGAGGCTGCAGTGGCTAGGAGCAGCCACAGCACTCCAGTCTGGGTGACAGAGTGAGACTCCAACTCAAAAAAAAAATCTAAGCTGGGCTCAGTGGCTCAGCCTGAATCTCGTGCTGGGAAAAAAATCTAGATTTCTGGCTTCTTTTGCAAAGTTGGATCTGACAATGCTGGGCTGACACTCCCACCTGGCTGCAATCATCTGAAGCTGACTTGAGTGTGTACCGAAAGGCCCCGCCTGTGACCCCTCCACTTTTCTGTTCACCACACTCTCCACCACTCCCTACTGTCCCTTACCTGGCCACTATAACATATTAACATTATGGCTCCCTGGAAATGTTTGAGTTTGCAAACCATGAGTTGGATGATGCATGAGATGCCAAGGGGCAATGCCCCTTCCCCTTCCCCACCTCAGTCACCTGGAGTGTACAAATTTAGGCCCTGGAAGCAACCGTCTTGGTTCATATCTTGTCTCTGCCACTTCCTAGGTGTGTGGCTTTAAACAAATTATGCAACATCTCTAAGCCTCAATTTTTCCATCTGTGAAATAGAAATAATAAGAGACTGTACCTCACAGAGCTGTTGGGAGGTGCAGCACATGAGTACAAAGCCCCCATGATGCTTGGCCTGTCATATGTGGGAGCTTCCCCTGGGAGCAGAGTCTGAGACCATGGCTTGGGCCTGGTTCCCTTGGGAGACAGAAGGCAGAGAGAATGTGACTGAGAAGGTAGAGATACCAAAACAGGTGCATGAATGGCTTGGTTACCACTGCTGGCAACTGGGGCTCAGTCCTACTGGAACCCTCTGGGGGACACATGTCAAATGAGCCTCAGAATCAGCCCAGGAAGGACAGGAGGCCGGGGCATCTGTCCACCAACACCCATCTCTCCCTGTCATTAACATCCCCCCTAACTTGTGAGCGGGTTGAACAACTTCCATTGGATTCTGAGGCAGAAAAACAGAGATTTGATGGACGTTGCCTGGGCACCCAGGACTGTCTGTCAGTGCACAGCAGGGTTCAGAGTGAGGTCATGATAAGACCTGCCCAGGACATGTGGTCCAGGCACCCAAATCCCCTGCTACCGATGCTTAAGAAGTCTCTTAGAACCATTGCTTCAGGGAGTCAGCTGGGTTCCCGGCACTTGAGATGACATAATATTGCATGTTCTCAATTACCTGAAGGTGCATCCAGGGCTACAACCATAACAACTAATAGTAGCAGTAGGAGTAATTATAGCTAGCATAGTCATTGTTTGTTAAGCACTATGTGCCAGGCACTATTCTAAGTCTTTTTGTTTTTTGCTTCTGGGTTTTTTTTGTTGTTGTTGTTGTTGTTTTTAGTTGGAGTCTCACTTTGTCACCCAGGCTGGAGTACAATAGCACGCTCACTTCCAAGTAACCAGAACTACAGGCACACGCTACCACAACTGGCTAATTTTTGATTTATTGTAGAGATGAGGTCTCACCAAGTTGCCCAGGCTGGTCTCGAACCCACGGGCTCAGGCAGTCCACTTGCTTCGGCCTCTCAAAGTGCTGAGATTGCAAGCTGAGCCACAGATCTTGGCCTGTTTTGTTTGTTTTTGAGTTGAGTCTCACTCTGTTGCCCAGGCTGAAGTGCAGTGGCATGATCATAGCTCACCACAGCCTCAACCTCCTGGGCTCAGGCCATCCTCCTTCCTCAGCTGCCTGCGTAGCTGGGACTACAGGCGTGCCAACATACCTGGCTAATTTTTTTTTTTCTTTGTAGAGATGAGGTCTCGCTATGTTGCCCAGGCTGATCTCAAACTCCTGGGCTCAAGCACTCCTTCCACCTCAACCTTCAAAAGTGCTGGGATACAGGTATGAGCTACTGCGCCTGGCCCACTATTCTGAATCTTCAACCTGCATTATCTCTTTAGTCCTCATTACCACCTGATGAGGTGGGGCCTCTTATTATCCCCCTCTTACAGAGGAATAAATGGAGGCTCTTAGAAGCTCAATGATTGCTCCAGGACATGCAGCTAGGAGGTGTTTCACATAGTCAAGACTCCTTTAGAGATGGTTGCCCAGGGGCCTGGTGCATGAGCTGCACTCAGAGCTGGTTGAGGGCAGAAGCCTAGAGTGCAGCCTGCCTGTCCCTGGCAGGCAGGGGAAGCACCTCGAGCCCTCCAATCCTCCAGGGCCATCCACTTCCCTCCTTCCCACCTGGATGCACCAGCTTCCTGTGCACCCCTCTTCCAGCAGCCCCTCCTCAGGATAGGGCTGGAAACCCTGCTGTGGCCCTTACCAGAGCTGCCCTCTTCTTACCAGAAAGTTCCAGGCTAGCAAGCCTGTGTTTGTCACAAGGTCTGGCAGCAATTGGCAGTCCGCCCAACCAGTGGGCTGCCTTCCTGGGATGCAGGAGAGGATGGACTCAGGAGAGAGAACAACTCTGGGAGCCCAGAGAGCCCTTGCAGGGATGTAGGGAGCAAAGGCCAGGAGCTGGCCACTTCTGGGGTCTGGTTGGATCCCTCTTTGCCGACTCCTCCTGGAAAGATCCTCTTTATCTGAGACCCACAGGCTCCCCTTGGAACTCAAAGGGCGTAGGAACTCCTGAGATGGAGATTCATCTGGTACATTCATGTTTTCCTGGGGAGTTAGCCTGTTGCCTTGTCAGATTCTCAAAGCCGCTCATGACCCCTCAAAGGATAAGACCCAGTATTGTTGATTGTGATGGTTTCATTTCCTTGCAGTAAAACTGAGGTGCAAAACTACCCAGGTTTTATGGTCTTAAAAACTAGAGAAGCCGGGTGTAGTGGCTCTAGCCTGTAATCCCAGCACTTTGGGAGGCAGAGGCGAGAGAATTACCTAAGCTCAGGGGTTCGAGACCAGCCTGAGCAACATGGCGAGACCTCGTCTCTACAATAAACCCTAAAATGAGTCAGGTATGGTAGCATACGCCTATGGTTCCAGCTACTTGGAAGACTGAGGCAGAAGAATCACCTGAGCCCAGCAGGTCGAGGCTGCGGTGTCCATGAGTATGCCACTACACTCTAGCCTGGGTGACAAAGTGAGACTCTGACTCAAAAAAAAAAAAAGATTAAAGATAGCTAACCTTCACTGGGTGCTTGCAATGGGCCATGTACCACTCTGAGCATTTTGGTGGCTAATCCCTACAAGAACTGGATGAGGTCTGTTTTGCAGACAGAAAACAAGCACAGAGAAGCTAAGCAACTTGCCCAAGCGGCAGAGCCAGGGTGTGAACCCAGGCAGGCTGGCTCCGGAGCCCACATGCTTGACCATTCGCCATGGAATGACATTCTTTCCTTAAAGCACTTTAGTGTCCCTCACCTCACTGACGTGACAGGCAATTTTGTCCACTCGGAAAGATGAGCAGACAACTTGTTCAAGGTTATGCTGAAAGTACACAACAGAGCAGGAAGGTTTTCTGAATCCCATTATGTATGCCCTTTCTTGTACAAATGCAGCCTATCTGCATAAAATCCAGAGATGCAAGGGTCTGCAACCCAGCAAGACCTGAGCCCGCGGGTTCGAGACCCGCCTGGGCAACTTGGCAAGACCTCATCTCTACAATAAATCAAAATGAGCCGGGT